TTGCATGCTATTTCAGAATCTGGTAACTAGCATATAATTATATGCCATCTCAGAATTTGGCTCTATTTCTTCAAGGATTTTCATGCTGCCTAGCTTTTTTTTTTTTTTTTTTTTTTTTTTTTTTGGTCAAATGTGCTTATGTAACCGGAGGCAGAATTTAGCCATTAATGTCCATTGGAAAGCTGAAGGCAAAGATTACACTTGGCATTTCAGACTGATTTTCTATAATCTATTAAGTGTGTTCAAATTGGTTTCATTTCATGTCATTTACTCATCTTGATTCTTTCAAGTGCAAATCAGACAACTAAATATCTCAATATAAACGTGTTCAAGGACATGATAGGTGACTTTACAGCTGGTGGTGAGAGTTCAGAGCTGTCCATTCATGGAGCTGGGATGGGGAAAAATCAACTTCCCTTTCCATAAGGACGGAGGTGGGGGATTCTCCTCCTGGCTCACCTTTGAGTGTTGCTCTACCCTTCACAGCCAAAACAGAAAAAGAAACTAGATGGAGGGGAATACCCTGTCAAACTGTTTTTACGCCTTTGATTTCTTGACCTCGTAAAGTTAATGAACTTTAATAACGTCACCAAGGACAATTAAAACGCCAAACTCTGGGGTATGCAAGTCAGATCACAAGAACAACAGCAAAAAAGAACCAACTGAAGGAAGTGGCAACTCCCACTTCCCAAAATGCATCCTGAGATAGAGGAACAGATGCCATTGTGGATGCAGATGTAAAGTCAGGTTGTGGTTCTGACGGCTTTATATCGGAATTATGAGGCTGGGAAGGGTTCCTGGGGCACATGGCTTCTGAAGTCACATAATGACGGATGATAATGAAAGAAACGAAAGGAACTTTGAGCACAAGTGTGGACTCAGAGAGCCATGATGCCAAAGAGAAGTGGTTTCATTGTGACCCTGAAGGACTGAAGCAGGAGCTGCTCGGTTGGTTGGCTGGCTAGGGATTAGGAAACAGGCCTTACTTACGGGGCAGAAAAACAAGGATGAACTTCAGGACTAGACAGAAATATTCTCTCTTCTGCAACCAACATCAGAGTCACATGCTTTGGCAAAGGCTGACTTTAGAAATATTAATAGAAGTAAACCAGGAAATGGGATTGAGAACAGCAATTAAAAGGCTATGGAAGTTGCTGGTGGTGACAGGAGGGGTAGTGGTGGTGGAGGTGGCAGTGGTAATGGTGGGGAGTTGAGATGAGTGGTGGGGGGTTGGGAGGTGACATGGGGGTGGTTGGGGTGGTGATAGTGGTGGATGGAGTGGTGGTGGGGGTGATAGACCTGGTGGTGGTAATGGTGGGGAGGTGAGATGGGTGGTGGGGGTTGGAGTGATGTGGAGGTGGCTGGGGTGGTGATGGTGGTGGTGGTGGTGGTTATGGAATTGGTGATGGAAATTGTAGTGATGGAGATGGTAGTGGTGATGGTGTTGGTGGTGGTAAGCACCTGTGATTGAACGCTCCCCAAGGGCCAGCCACTATTAACATATCACCAACTGTATGCCTTATTGGTGTTAACATATGAACAATCTGCAGCCTCCTCTTAGAGATGAGGAAAGCAAGAGTCAATGGCGTGAGTCAGCTCATCCAAGGTCACGACGGTAGAAAGTGGCAGAGCTGGGGATTGTCATATTTACCAGGACTGAGTTACAGTGAGTCACAAAACCCACGTCATCCCCCACAGCCGTTGATGCACATTCTGCATTTTGCTCCCACAGTGGTAGCTTCTGCACAGAAGGCGGCCCAACTGCGTACACTGTAGTCAGGGGGACGCACCGTGGGGGTGGGGGTCAACACCAGTGGAGAAGGGAAGAAAGAAGCCCTGATTCTCCCAGAAGGAAGAAATTAAAAGTTACCTGAAGCCTTCAATTTCAAGACTGCCCTCGACCAGTTTTGCCACATGATCAGAGACTTATTTATAGCCATCCGAATCCTGACATGTGCAATTGAAAGGGAAGAATATTTTTAAAGTCCAGGGTAAAGGAAGCCACTGGTAGTTATGAATTACAAATCCATTCCTCTCCTGACCCACGGATCTCATCCTCCCCTGCCCAGTCACCTTAGGGCCTCCCCCCACCCCACCGACCCTGCCGCACAAAAACAACAACAGCTGACAAAAAAGCATTCACAATTACAAACACAAAGAACGCCGGCGGCTGGCAGGGAATAAGGCGAGGTTCTTGCTGCTTCCAGGACTGGAAGTCTGGGTATTTGCTCTGCCCCTGCGTTCCTTCTCAGCAAAGCTATCACTTTGAGAGGATTGATTTTTGATTTACACAGAAGGATTGCTTGGCTCTGTCAAGATAAAAGTTTAAGTACCTGCCTTGCCGCTGCTTTGTTCTCCTCTCTGTAAGAAGAGGAACGAGGAACTAGAGGGAAAAAAATTTTTTCCCCAACTTTGCAAACCAATCTATTCCTCCTCCCCTTTTGGTAAAGAAATATTTAAGTCGTATGCATTCTTGGAGAGAATTTTCAAAAAACACTCAGCCCACAAGAATTCTGTTCATCCCACAAAATCTGCCTTGGTCCTGCGTGCATTTGCTAACACTGCCTCCTCCACTTTCAGCCCATCAGCATTTTCTTCTTTTGCCTTTAATATCAGTAGGTTAGGACGGCACAGACATCTGCCCCTCTAGGAAACAACGCTCCACGCAGTGCTCTTTCCAAACACAGGCTCCCATGTGAAGTCCTTGTAAAAGGAATAGAACACACACACACAAAAGGCGCATGTTCAGCTGAGCTTCATTCATTAAGGTCTCCAGCCAGCTCCCTTTAGGCTGCCTCGGTTTCTCTGTGATTCGATGTTTTTGTTTGTTTCATTTCACTTATTTATTATGGTTACCGTCTAGTGTTCTTTGGTTTTTCTTGTTTAAATTATTAAAACAAACAGCATCCAGTGTTTATTACGACTTGCTATCTATATGGCATAGTTTCTGAAAATGAGATTAACTGCGGGACAGGATGTTGTCCCTTCCCAAGCAAGCTGGAGTGAAACTGCATCTTTCTCCCCAGAACCCAGGATTCTACCTCCTGCAGGTGACCACGTGGCTGCTGTGATGAGCCCGGGGGTCAAGGTGTCACCACAGTTCAGACCTAAAGTGTGGTGACTAACTGTCCCAATTCCAAGGGGTAAATGTTTTCTCAGTGCCGGGTCATTTCTATTCTTAACCTTACAGCATAATGTCGGGCTTACTCATGGTGTGAAATTCTGGTAAGTCCCACTACATCACGGAAGGAGATGCTTTTTCTAACCGAGGGGGTGAAACGTGCGGAAGGAATCTTTCCTTTCTCAACCCAGCCAGGAAGGGGCAGATGTTAAGCCTAGTTTAGAAACTATTGTTGGGTCTTTACTTCAAATTCATTTTCTATGACAGTGGATAATTTGGCCCTGGCAAGGCAAAGTTGAATTGGGTCACTGGATCCACAAGTATAGAAACACTCCAAAGACGTTGTGCCGGGCCAGGTGTGGTGGCTCATGCCTGTAATCTCAGCACTTTAGGAGGCTGAGGTGGGCAGATCACCTAAGGTCAGGAGTTCAAGTCGAGCCTGGCCAACATGGCAAAACCCTGTCTCTACTAAAAATACAAAAATTGTCTGGGCATGGTGGTGGGCGCCGGTAATCCCAGCTACTCAGGAGGCTGTGGCAGGAGAATCACTTGAACCCAGGAGCCAGAGGTTGCAATGAGCCAAGATCCAGCCTGGGTGACAGAGTAAGACTCCATCTCAGAAAAAAAAAAAATTTACTATTTTGAGGTATTTAAAATAAAATCAGTTGCAATTTCCGTAGTACATGATATCCTCAGATTTGTTCAGTCCTAGTACTGTAGGAGAAATATTTTGATACCAGATTTTAATTTTGTTAAGAAAAGTGGGGAATTATTTTCATTGGTAATTTTAGTTTTCTTATTTTGCACTTAGGGATTGATATTTTCCTCCAAAGCAAAAATGCAATTTGACTAAAATTATTATTAATTTTTGGAGACAGACTCTTGCTCTGTCACCCAGGCAGGAATGTAGTGACATGATCTTGGCTCTCTGCAACCTCTGCCTCCCAGGTTCAAACAATTCTCATGCCTCAGCCTCCCAAGTAGCTGGGGTTACATGTGTGTACCACCACAACTAATTTTTTTGCTTTTAGTAGAAACAGGGTTTCACCATGTTGGCCAGGCTTGTCTTGAACTCCTGGCCTCAAGTGATCCACCTGCCTCAGCGTCCCAAAGTGCTGGGATTACAGGCATGAGCAAACACGCCAGCTGCAATTCAACTAAAATTAAATGCTAGATGCTGGGCGATTCAAAGATAAGAGGTTGTCCTTACTCTCGTGGTTCTCAGTGATCAGCAGGAGAAACAGGTGCAAAACCACAAACAACTACCTACAATAGGAAAAAAAATGTATAACTGAAGCTTAAATTAATACGCATTGCAACTCTGGCAATTAATTCGGCCTGGAGAAGAGAAGGCAGAGGAAACTAAAGAGAAGCAAGGCCACAGGAGCAGGTTCTTAATAGATCAGCAGGATTGGCCAAGAGAGCATCTAACAGAGGAGTTTCCAAGTACGGGGAATAGCATGTGCTCTGACATTGACAATTCTCATCCTGAAACTAGGGTGTCATCTCCAGGGTCACAGTAAAATAGAGGTGGGAAGGGGGAGGAGCCATGAAGAGAATGAGACCAGAAAGAGAAATTCACAAGGTGTAACAGGTGCTACTTTTGTTAAGAAGGCAACAGTTGGATACATTCTTGACAAAATGCCTCTCACTGTGTTTACTGTTTGAATTTATTAGAGCAATGGCTAATATGTCTGACCTGGCGTTTTAAGCAAAGGGAAAGAGTGATACCTGGTCTTTATACTTGGTAAGAGAGATCTGATGAACACCTGCAGATGTATATCATTCATTTCATGCTCCTCACCATTGGAATTAAGCATAGAGTTACCCAAGCTTGCTGTGGTCCTAAGACAAGCATTTTGTTGTTGTTGTTCTCCAGGCTTGTTTGCGACGACAGGAATACAGACGAGACCCAAATGAGAAGAAACGAGATCAATTTTGGATGCAAGAGACAAGTTTTGAGAGATCCCGGTTTTCTAGTGGGTCATCTTCCAAACAGGTATGAGAATTCTGGGAGATAGTCTCCTGCTGCTGCTGGGGTGTGTGTGTGTGTGTGTGTGTGTGTGTGTGTGTGTGTGTGTGTCTCTTAAGAAAAAGCTGACTCAAAAAGGAGATGTAGAACCCCAGGGGCAGGGCAGGGCAAGCTATGGGCAGGAAGGAGCCCAGGGCTGGGAGCTCCCTTCCTGGACAGCACCTTTGTGGCTCCCAGCCCTGCAGCCTTCACAGTTTAGTATGGTTGGGCCTCACTCTTCTTTCCTGTAGAGGAAGGTCCTGACACAGATGGTCTATGAGACACCATCCAGATGAGAAATGCTGCAACTCTGTAAGAGCTGGAGGCACTGGGCCTTCTCAAACACAGCATCATCTCTGTGGCATATGGTCTAACTTGACGCATGGTTGGGCCTAGTTTTTATTTCTGATGAAGGAAGAGTAAAATGTGGTAATAACCATATCATGTAATAATTGGCAATTGCTTAAATACTTTTGCCTAGAATGATATAGCAATATAACAGACTATAACAATATGATAAAATATTTTTGCCTAGAATGATACAATAATAACAATATGATGATTATAATAATAAGATGATGATTCATAATAGTATGATAATAATAATTATGTGGTTACCATTATTTCAGTGCTTGCTACCTTCCAGGCACTATGCTAAACACTTTATACATATTAGCTTATTTAATTCTCATATATGTATGTATCTACCATATCTATCTATCTATCTATCTATCTATCTATCTAACTTTGCCCTGTTTTACAGATGAAAAAACTGGGCCTTAGAGAAGTTACAATACTTTACCTAAGATTTCACAGCCAGCGTGTGGTAGAGATTCCATTCTAGGCAGTCTGACCCCAGAGAAGGTGCTCTGAATTGCTAGACTGTATGATCATAGCTCATGTTTAAGATCTTCTCTAAGAATTTTACTTATCCTAGGTAAGACCTCAATACCACAAGCTGTATTCCACACTGACTGTTAGCATGGTGAATTGATTTAAGATGAGTAATATGCCTTTTATGAATTCCTATTTAATATTTTATGCCTGAAATATACTCTAGAGGAGGGACTCCTTCTTTCCTATCAGTGGTGTGGATCCTGAGGTAGATCCTGAATACATGATATCAATCAAGTTCTTGTTGGGATTTCTTTTTTAATCCAGCATGTCGACACTGCAGTTATTTAATGTTCAAAGGACACCTTAAAAACATCAGTGATCGATGTTTATAGATGTAGATGTATCCCCGGGAGAGAGCTATGCTCTCTATTAAGGAATATAAAATCACACAATAAAATATTTCACCTAGAATCTGAAGGTGAAAGAGACCATCTCACAATATTGGCAGCACCAAGAATAGGTCACCTGGATCTTTTCTGGTTAGTCAAAGACTAAATATGCCTGCTGCTGATTAAACTTATGGAGTGAGATTAATCCAAAATTTAAATCTAGTTTGGCTAGAACAACACATTTTTAGCATTGAGATAAATTCTCATATTTTTACACTCAGAAATAAAATCAAGGACAGATAAGAAAATGTAATTTAAGTCAAACAGTAGCATGTAGCAATCTTCCCGGACTGGAATTGCTAAACAAGTGTGCAGCTGGGTTCCTCTGCAGGGAACTTCCATGCAGAGGCTCACGTGCACTCACAGCCATTTGACATGCAATAGTCATGCATTTGGGATATTCAGGATTTGAAGTTGTACAGTCCTTTTCACACTTAAGCTTATGTGACAAGCTGGTGTCAGATTCCTATAGTTTTCTTCTTCCTGCTATACAAATTACACATTTTTTTTTCTGAGATGGAGTTTCATTCTGTCTCTCAGGCTGGAGGCAGTGGCATGATCTTGGCTCACTGCAACCTCTGCCTCCCGGGCTCAAGCGATTCTCCTGCCTCAGCCTCGCGAGTAGCTGGGACTACAGGCATGTGCCATCACGGCTGGCTAATTTTTGTATTTTCAGTAGAGACAGGGTTTCACCATGTTAGCCATGATGGTCTTGATCTCCTGACCCCATGATCCACCTGCCTAGGCCTCCCAAAGTGCTGGGATTACAAGCATGAGCCACTGCTCCTGGCCAAATTATGTATTCTGTAAACCATCATTGCAAAACACTCAGACTACTTCCACAAAAGACCATGGTTGTTTATATAAAAGTATGTGAAATCGCTTCTATAATACAGATTATATGGATCTTATTTCCCAATAATTTTATTATTCACCCATACCCAACACAACATTAAAAAAAAAAAACACACGGTAAGACGCAAAACCTGGCAATTTTTCCTCTAAAAGATGAGGCCAGGATATTTTATGTTTGCACTCTGACACTGTACCTCAGTATGTCAGAGAAGAAGAAACACTGCTTAGATAATCTCAATTTTCTCCAGATAATGATATCCCAAGGGTTTGAGCCATGATTGTGCAAGTGTCCTCAAGGTCCCATCTTTTCTACCAAGAAAGTGACACAATCAAAATTTTCCACAGTGAAATTCACCTCTGCTTTGCTCTCTGCGTTACAAATATTCTTTGGGGGATACTGGAGGATTTGCCTCTGGACACGAAAGCAGAGGAAGGGCAGGGTGAGAGGAAGTGTCGCCGAGGGCATCATTCCTCACAGCCATTCAGCTTGTGATCTCATAGTGTCCGTGCTGCCTGGCCCAGTCCTTCGAGTTGTGCTTGATATGAATGAAGCCAGAGATCTTTTATGAAACTCAAACCAGATCCAGGAAATCTTCAGCCCGCAGAATCATGGGTTGGTTTGGAGATTCCCCTCCCAGGTTTGAACCCCTACCCCAATTTTTATTAAAATTGGAGTTGTTTAGGCACCAGGTGTGCTGGCTCATGCCTGTAATCCCAACACTTCGGGAGGCTGAGGCAGGCAGATCACCTGAGGTCGGGAGTTCAAGACCAGCCTGACCAACATGGAGAAACCCTATCTCTGCTAAAAATACAAAAAAATTTAGCTGGGCGTGGCTAATAATCCCAGCTACTCAGGAGGCTGAGGCAGGAGAATCACTGGAACCTGGGAGATGGAGGTTGCAGTGAGCCGAGGTCATGCCATTGCAATCCAGCCTGGGAAACAAGAGTGAAAAACAAATGCAGTTGTTTGCAAACCTTCAGAGTTTAGGCTGCCCATCCTGAAGGGATGGAGAACTTATTCAACCTCTTCCCACAGGGTCCACAACTCCAGGCAGGTCCCGGAGCTAGTCTCCCAGGGGAAGCTGTGAATAAGAAGGCTGGCATGTCACCAAAGAGAACCAAGTCCAGACAGATCCAATGTCCAGAGCTCGGTATATTGAATGTTGCATCAGGCACTAGAGTTGCAAAAGATTCTTGGTCAATCAGAAAAGGGCAGGAGGATGATACAGCTCAGTGAGAATGGTGTAAATCCAAAGCCTTCCTCCCAAGGTGAAAATATCCCAAGTCTTTTCCTCCTAGAGACCAAAGTACCTGAACTCGAAATAGTGTTTGCCTTTGATTTGTAAAGGCAGCTTCCTTCTCTGATTCAGTGGCTATTATGAAAGTGACTTGCTTAATCCGCGGAAATTTTTCCACTGTTCAGTCACTTCGTGCATCTCACCACTACCGAATTTTGACACTTACATTGCAATTTTCGTCACTTGTTAATTCCTTAACCCAGACTCCAATTGTCACAATTCTGATGAGCCTGGAATGAACAAGGCATTTACCATCAAATAATGGCTTCTGTGTCGAGGTATCCTTCCATCTAGACAGCTGCGTCAAGGTGGGCAGATCCTCAAACACACAGTTAACCTGCTTCATCCTGGCACAACCTCCTCACCACAACCAGTGGCTCTCACCGCTGGGTATGCAGCAGTTGGATTTCACCTAGGTCCAAGATGAAGCCATGCCTATCAAGCCTGTGCTGAGAGGTTCTTTAGAGTGGTACTTCCTAAATACATTTACATTTGTGGCTTGGCATAGTAGAAAGCATTTATCAAGGGCCAGCTCTACCCCTCGTTACAGCGTGAATTCAGGCAAACCACGTGCAAGCACTTCAGTTTCCCATCAAGGAGATATTTACTATACACATCTTGTGGGATCATTGTGGAAACGAGGGAGACTCGTAATGACAGGCTAACGTTACAGCACATTACACACTGCCTTGGTGTCCAAATATACTTGCAAGTGATGCTTAGACAGGTATTGGGGAATTTGAAGGTTCTGAAGCTTCTAGGATCCCTCAGCCCAGTCCCAGGCCACATTTCTAAAAGCCAACCTCATATAGCAACTTAATTTTAGACCTTTTCAGAGTTACATACAACGCCGTGAACTATTTTTGTTTTTTATTTGTTTTGAGGCGGAGTCCCTCTCTGTCGCCCAGACTAGAGTGCAGTGGTGTGATCTTGGCTCATTGCAACCTTCACCTCCGAGGTTCAAGCAATTCTCTTGCCTCAGCCTCCTGAGTAGCTGGGATTAAGGCAGGTGGATCATGAGGTGAGGAGTTCAAGACCAGCCGGGCCAAGATGGTGAAACCCCATCTCTACTAAAAATACAAAAAATTAGCCGGGCGTGGTGGCAGGCACCTGTAATCCCAGCTACTCAGGAGGCTGAGGCAGAGAATTGCTTGAACCCAGGAGGCAGAGGTTGCAGTGAGCTGAGATCATGCCACTGCACTCCAGCCTGGGCATCAGAGTGAGACTCTGTCTCAAAAAAAAAAAAAAGAAAGAAAGAAAGAAGAAAAAGAATGGAACTGTTTAATCAGATTGGAATTTAACAGGGAAATAAATAGTGGCTCTGCATAACCCACTAGAAAGTGGGTAATTTAATAGACTAAAAAGCAAAGCAGCTTCGGGATATAAGGAGAAAGCAATGCCCCTCCTTCCCAGGCACCCATGAGACAGCTGCTGGCCCAGAGGAGCTTGCTGTGATTGACAGAGGCACAGAAGGAATTTCGTCCTTGCGAACCTTCACAGAGAGGGGACAGGAGCCTTGATTTCCCCATAGAACATGATGAAAATGATT